TCCTCCTCCTCCTCACTCTCCGTCTCTTCCTGCCTCCTCCTCCTCCTCCTCCTCCCCATCCCCCCCTTTTTTACCACCCCCCGCAGCAGCAGCAGCAGCAGCAGCCTCCTCCCTCAGCCTCCTCCTCGCCGCCCTCTTCTCCTCCCTGACCCGCTCCCTCACCCTCCTGGCCTCCTCCCTCGCCTTGCCCCTCTCCTCCCTCAGCACCGCCCTCTTGCGCTCCGCCTCCCGATCCCCAAACGCCGAGTCCGGCCCGCCGCCCCCACCGGTGCCCACCACCACATACACGCCGCGCTGCTCGTCCAGACTGGCCACCACCAGCGGCGTGCCGCGCCCGCCGTGGGCGAGGCGGCCGCCGGAGGCCTCGCGCTCCTTGCTCGGCCAGGGCCTCGCCGATCCACAGGGCGAGTTTGGTCAGCCGCGCCGGGGTGGTTGAAGAGCTCGCAGCGTCCCGGGGCGGCGTCTTTGACGACGCACATGCGGAAGGCGCGCAGGTGGGAGATTTGTTTCTTTTTGAGCACGGTGGTGCCGGGTGGTGAAGATGGCGCGGTGGAGGAAGAGCGCCGTGGGGCAGGCTCGGCTTTGAGGGATTCGATGTCCTTCGAGCGCGTCGTAGGCTTCCCAGAAACGCGGGAGCCATTCTTCGCTGGCCGGCGGGGGGTGGTGGCGGTGGTGGTGGTGGTGGTGGTGGGGAGGTCTTTGGGAGGGGTTGTTGGTGGAGGAGGGGTCGGAGGAGGACGGGGAGGCAATGGGTGTTCTTGCCGACTTCGAGGAGCCGCTCCGATGACGACGCCGACGTCCTTGGGCGCTGAGGGTTGCGCGCCCAGCCCCAGCTGTCGCACGAAACCCCAGCCCGGTCTTTGGCGCCGCCCCCGGTCTTTGCCGTCCGTGTCGATGGTCGGGACGAGCTCGTCCAGGTTAGTACAGGGAGGCGTACTTGAGGAGCTTGGTGCGCAGCTCCCGCTTGAGCATCATGTCCATGTGCGCGTAGCTCTGCTTGCACTGGACTAGGCTGACGCCCATCTTGGCGAGAGAGCTTGTGCAGGCCCGCTTGAGGCCCGTTTCGCTCCCGAGGTCTTGAGGCGGGAGAATAGGTAAGGGGAGTGTAGCATGCTGTCGTTAGAAGAGACTCCAGTGCCTGATGAGTAAGAACTTGGGTTCTGGGAGTGACAGGCGGATGCTCGTGTCTTCGGGGCTGCGAGCTGTGGTCGGGATTTTTTTTATATATATAAATGCCTGTATTTTCCGGCAAGACCCGGCCGTTGCCAATCTCGGGGGGGTTCAACCGTCGCACTTCGTCTCGCATTTGGTCAGAGAGAGAGCTGCCGTATCCCTCGCCCCGCGCATCCCCATCCAACCGGTTGCGGGACGCGGGTCAGCGCTGCGAACAGGCACCGCGATACCAGCAGAGGAGCGCCCATAGAGCTCCATTGACGAGACTCCGACGATGGCCATCCAGAGGAGGTCATTGTCTTCGCGACCGAGCTCCGAGGCAAGAGAGTACATCATGGAAGAAACGGGTTCCGAGTATGAGGCGCCCAGCCTGTAGTAGTCTCGTAGTATGGCCTCGTTCTTGCGCCGTAGACGTAAGAGCTTCCGCCTCAGCGTCCGCGCTGACGGTGCCCGTAGCGGTTGGGCAGGGGTCGGGGGTTCCAAGGCGTCGCTCGAAAAGATGGCGTCGTCTCTAAGTGATATGAGTCCGCGCTGAGCCGGGCGTCGGGGCGAGTCTGGAATCGGAGTGGACTGGACGAGGTTAGCCAGAAGTAACAAAAAAGAGACATCAAAACCCAACGCACCGAGTTACTACGTCTCCTCTGCTTCGGGCGATCATCCTCCTCCTCGCTATCCTCGTCAAGGAAGTCCCACGATTTCCGCTTCTGCCCTGTCCGTGATGTCTGAGCCACTGGCGGCTCCTCGATGTCGCTCTCCTCGTCGTCCTCACTATCCCCCAAATCCTCCCCATCATCTTCAATATCCGGCATATCCACAAGCGCAAGATACGCCTCCTTCTCCATTCCCAAATCATCCTCAATATCCCCATCATCAAACACCACAATCCCCCCCTTACCCGGCCGATACGCCCGGTCAATACAACCCGCCCTCACCCCCACCGGCGTCCTCGCGGCAAAGGTCGTAGCCTCCTCCGTCTCAGGCTCCAACGGAAACCCCCCAAACACATTCCCCAAATTCCACGGCCGATGCGCATCCACCACCCACACCTCCACGCCCCCAAACCCCACCCCATCATCCCCCTCCCCATTCCCAGTCTCCCCATCCCCCTCCAACCCCAACACGGCCCCCAGATCCGCCATACCACCCACACCAAGACAAACCACCACCCCGCCGGAAACCGCCGCGGGCCTCGGTCATGGGCGCGACCAGGTCGCGGCCGACGCGCTCGAGGTCGGCATAAGCCGCGCGACGGGCTGGATCTTGTAGCGGGATGTAGTCCGTGCTTGAAGAGGCGCGTCAGGATGCGGCAGGCGCAGAGCGCGTCGGGGCTCGAGGGCGACGAGGATGAGCACGGGGGGCGAGAGCGGGTTGGCGGGTTTGTTGGAAGGTGCTGGTACAGCTTGGAAAGGAGCGTTCGGGGGAGGTACATGGTGGGTGGGTGCGTGGGTGGGTTATTGGTTGGGTTGGGTTTTTTTTGTGATTGGTGGGTTTAGGATGTGGTGTTGAGGGCGGGCATGGAGACGGTTTCTCTCAATTGAGGGTCGGGTTAGGTTGGTAGCGTAGTTGGTTGGTAAGGTTAGGTTGGTTGGTACGAGTAAACGCGGGAGTGTCGGTCGTGGTCGAGTAGGACGCGGTGCGTTCGTAATTTTTGGTGTTTAAATTAAATTGGATGGGAAAGGATAGTGTAGGTGTGTTATGGGCGGCACCAAGAGTATAAGCTCTTGTTGAATTGCCCCAATGTCAAATCTAGGGCATAAAAGGCACGGATTCAGTCGGGTCTGGCGTCTAGCAAAATAGTCGGGTTGGTGTTGTGGAATCAAGACTTACACCAAGACAATGCACGCACCACTGCAAGACGCGCTTCGACGACGCGACGTGGGGAGCAATACACTGTTGGATGGCCCGTGAGTTACTGTGCCGCTGCACGGTGTGGGTACATGGGTAATTGATGGCGCGTTAATGGATTGATGGGTATGAACTCTGCACGGACCAGACTCTCGAGTTCAGGAGCCCGTCTCGCTCGTGTGCCCCGCTGTTGCTCGCTTTCCATGGATCCGCTCTTTCCACAACCAGCACGCTCCATTGCCGCACATACACAACGGATTCTGCCCCTCATTTGGTACTGCGGGCTGCCTGACCGCTCCTCCTGCAGTTGACACTGTATCTGATTCAGTTTTTTCCTGCAAACGCTCCGCCCACCTGCCCGTTCTGACACTGGCGAGGCAGGATCTTTCTGGCCACCACGACGGAACACCAGGATGTGCCCTTTTTGAGGAACATGGAACCCCTCACCGGGCTGCCAGCAGTTTGCTAGCTTGCCAACCTACCGGTCTCCCTCCCTGCTCCCCTCCCCTCCCCTTCTCTCCATCGTATTATCGCACATTGTATCATCCAGACGCGGCAGCGGCAGCAGGAGCAGCAACAGCGGGGTTCTACCCGATCTCGGGTTCATTCCTTGCCCCCTCTTGCCCGGGAGGTGCACCTAGTGTTGCAGTGTTGCATTCACTTCTCCGGACAGGTCGACGGGGACTTACTTCTCTGGCTCCAGTGCGTCCCGATCATGATCGGCCCCTCGCTTGCAAATTGTGGTGAGCTGTGACGATGTTGGACACCCATCGCCTTTGTTGCGCCTTGGCGGGCGCCAGTACCGACACTCTGGTAGCTGGTAACGCCGCCCCGAGCTGTTGGGCTCGCTCGAGTTGCCTCCACGTCCCGGCGCTGTGGTTGAGCTCCCCCTCTTCGAACGGCCCCCGCAGGGGGATGTTGGGGGTGTTGGGCAGCGGTTCGTCTGCCGTGGACCTGCACCCATCCGCCGAGCTGGGTCGGGCTGACCTGTACCGTGTGGCAGGGTCGCCAACAGAAAGGGTCCGGATGCGGCTATGGCGTTCTCCTCGATGCAGCCATGCTGCACCAGATGCCACCATCTCCCGCAGTTTACAGCAGGTGGCCGTCCATGATTGGCCCTGTCCCCGAGACGGCCTGCTGGGATATCCACCGCTCCACCCTCTACCCTCCACCATCCACCATCCATGGCTCCATGGAAGGCAGCCCCATCGAGCTCGCAAGGTGCATCTGGCGAGTCTGCCTTCTCCGCCCTAGTTTGCGTGGCCCCGAGCAGATATTTAGCTCGTTCTCTGCTTTCTGGGTGGTCGCCTTTTTTTCCCGCTCGGCCGTCATGACTGGTGCCCTTGACCGAGCTCGACGGAGCTCGTCTGCCTCACGGCGTCTACTTCGTCTCCAGCCGGCCCACGTACATATAATTGAATGCTACGCCCTTGCTGCCAGTTGTCCACAGTCAGGCCAGCGGTCTTCCTTCTTTACACGCCACCCAAACTCCAGCAGGTGGCCACCTGTACTAGCAGTGTATTCACCTCCTTGACTTTGACTGGTCTTGTCCTCGAACGACCCCCACCCCCCTTTCTCGCTCTTCACACCCTTTTCTCGCGTATATTACCGCCCACTAGCAGTCATAGTGCACTGTCAGGCATCTATCGTCTCAGACCAAGCCTCTGTGGAAATGTTCTCGGTCGGCACCTGCCGTCTCAGAAGTATCAAAATCCAACAAGGCGCTAGCCAACTGTGTCCCCTCAGGGGTTACTCGTCCGTGGATGCACGGGGAGGTGGGTAGTCCTCCGCCCGGGATGGATGAAGACGGTGTCATCGAACCGCTCGTGGACGATGACCTGGCCGAGGCAGCCGGTGAAGTGACGTCCGACTATGATCCGAGCGACGGGGAAACCACGTTCGGCTCCCTCACCTCCAGCGTCGGTGAACATGTGTGGGAGTATGGGAGGTATGTTGCTTAATGAACTTTAGCTGTCGCCATCCTACCATGTTGGTGCTAAACTAGACCCAGGCGATACCATGCTTACCGGTACGGGAGATACCCTATCCCGAACGATGAGGAGGAATACAAGCGGGAATCGCTCCGACACATGATGCTGAAGGAGCTCCTGGGCGGCAAACTGTACTTGGCACCGATCGGAGACAACCCCCAAAAGATCATTGACCTGGGCACCGGATTTGGGGAATGGGCCATCGAAGGTACGTGGCCAAAGACATGACCACAACCAGCAGAGCGGAAACTGACGGGCCTATATCAGTTGGCGAAAAGTTCCCCAGCGCCAGAGTGACGGGGGTAGACCTCTCGCCCATTCAACCGCACTGGATCCCGCCCAATGTCGACTTTATCGTCGATGATATCGAGGATCAATGGGTGCACGCCAACGACTTCGACTTTGCCCACTTCCGTTTCGTCCACAGCATCATCAGAGCAAGCAGAACAGCCCTACGCAATGTTCTAGAGTACGACCCGTGTCCACAACCTACTTAATGCCGGGTTGCTAACACCATGACTCCAGGAACCTCAAGCCAGGCGGCTGGGTCGAGATCAAGGACATCCTGCCGCGAGTATCCTCCGACGACAACACGGTTTCGCCTGAGCATCCCCTGGCTAAATTCTACACGATGGTTGGGTCCGCGCTGCGAGAAAAATACGGATTTAATATCTGGATTATGGAAACCTTACCTAGCCTGCTGGAGGAGTTGGGCTTTGTCAACATACAAAGAAAAGTGTTTCACATGCCCTTGGGCGAGTGGGCGCGGGACTCGCACTTGCGGGTCCTTGGCGGTTACTACCGCGAGGTCATGGTTGACTTCGTGAGCGCCATGGCGGCGCGGCCGCTCGTCGAAGCCGGTTTGGACAAGGAAGAGATTGCGGACCTTGTCAGGGACATCAATGTGGTGCTCAGCAACAGACGCATCCACGCTTATACGCCAATCCACTTTGTCTGGGCCCAGAAACCGCCAGCTTGAGCACACAGCCAGACATTGCTGCTATCGCCCGGAGGGTCACCTAGCCTCAGGGTCCTGCGCCCAACCGTTTGACGGCGCAGAACAACACCCCAAACCCAGCAAGCCATGCATACAACTGCACGCGAGTCAGGCCACCGACTTACACGGCACGAGACCCGCACCTCAAAAGTCCCCAAGGACCCCCCAACCCGTCGCCGACTCCCAATTTGCCGAGAGCGAGAAGAGAGGGAGAGAGAAGAAAGTAACACCGATTCGACCGACAGCTGCACGACACCGTTCCCGGCTTCTGGCCCGCTCGACACCCTCGACCCCTCATCACCGGGGGCGGCCTGGAGGTTGCGTTGCAATGCAGATGCATCGATGCGGGTCTGGCCCGCCCGTGCGGCCCTCTCTCCCTACCCCCCTCCTTGACTTCTCCCCACCCGTCCTCATGGGCGTCTAACTGTCCCACAACAGCAGAAATGCATGCATGCATGCATTTCTGCATGCCCGGATGGACAGGAAGGGACCTCCGGTTCGGTGTACATACAGGAGTGACGCTTGGTATTTTGCGTGCCGTCATTTCCGGGGCGTCTGGATTAAGGGGTGGTGAGCGTGTAAGGAGGGCTTGGGTTGGGGATGAGGGTAGTGGGGGAGAATGGGTGCCAGCCAGTGTGGGAGGGAAAAGGAGAAGTGATTCCTCGTATTCATCTCGTCGACTTGGGGAGTCCCAAGGGAGGCCCACAGGCTGTGCTTGTTTCCGTTCTAGCTTGTTTACTGGGATGGACAGGGCCTCTAATGGAAGGGACATAAGGCTATCTATTACATATCCAATAAACTATGCGCTTTATCTTTGTCAACTAGGACCCGCGCCAATCTCCATCGTCCATTTTCAGGGACATCACCTCCACACTGTGCTTACTCTAATGATGAACTTTGTAGGTTCGAAGAGTTGATGACCGTGCTTGTTGCTAAATGAGAGTTCTCTAAGTTTCCCTGGCACTTATTTGTAAATATTCCAGAAAAAAAAAAAAAAAAAGGCCAGCAGGAGATAGACAATAAAAAGGATAACAACACCTAGGGGAGGAAAATGGGGAGGAACGGCAACACTTCTAGAAGGTGTGGCGCTGGGACGGCCCGCTGTTGGATCGCTAGGGATCTCGGGGAACAGGCCCCGCATCTTTTTCCCCAATCAAACAACAACACACCACCACTACCGACAGTTGCTGTGCCTCTTTTTCGCGGTTTCTCACACGGTACTTCAACGTCGAGTGTTATATCCGGTCATCAAGATTTATTCAAGAGTGAGTTTGGGGCTTATTCCAGGTACTGAGTCATTACTCCCAAAGGATTACTAAAAACAAACAGGACCAACCGTTAAGTACCTATTGTAGAGGGACATGTCAGGGGCTCATAGCCAACTGGAAGCTCAATGCTTATCTGCCGCGAAGCAGATTGTCTCCGAGTGTGCTGCTAGCTTGGGGGGCGATGCCGCCTCCGTAGGTCTAGCAGGCTGCGGCGAGCCCCTAATTCAACTCCTCCAACGCCAGGCATCACAGCTTCTTGCACTCTCAGAGACCCCATGGGATGAAGCTCAAGCCATCTCATCCGAGGCGGAAGCTGGGCACAAACACAAAAAAGCACTGCTGCTTAAACGGCTGGACGACCTCATATCCTCGTCGTATGCCAAGTTCTATGCCTACCTGTTCAAGGACCTGCCTGTGTGCTGGCGCCAGCTGTACACGGACGCGAGTGTCCTCAAGTTTGCCCTGCTATACCTGTCATGGCCTCCTGCGGATAACTCAGGGAAGGGGCAGAATGACGGGCATGCGATTGAGGAGCAACTGGATGATATGGTCAAGACGCTGGACCTGGCAATCATCCTCGCTGGCGCAGCCGGGGGAAAACGTGGCAGGGCATGGATCGACAAGGCGTTTGTCCTCCTAGAAGAGATTTGGCAGTCATCGTCGTCACTTCCCGACGACACTCCCACCGCTACTCCGCCAGATGAGAGGCCGCACAAGAAACCCAAGCCATCAGACCCCTGGCAGGACGCGCCCCCTTTCTCCACCGACCAACCCTTCACTCCCCCGGTCACCCGCCCCGTCCGCCGCGCCCACGACATCTCCTTCGAAGACTTCCAGACCTACCTCGACACCCGCGAAGGAAACGCCCTCGGCCCGCTTCCGCTAGTCCTCACCGGACTGATCTCCAGCTGGCCCGCGCTGACCACGCGACCCTGGCGCAAGCCCAGCTACCTCCTCTCACGCACCTTTGGCGGCCGCCGCCTCGTCCCCGTCGAGCTCGGGCGCAGCTACGTGGACGCCGGCTGGGGCCAGAAAATCATACCGTTTGGCACGTTTCTGGCGCAGCACATCGCTGACAACGCCACCACTACCACCAAGCGAAAAACAGGCTACCTCGCGCAGCACCCGCTCCTCACGCACCTGCCCGCCCTCCGCGAGGACATCCTCCTCCCCGACCTTGTCTACACCACCCCACCACCCCACCCAACCCTCTCCCCCCCAAACCCAAACCCAAACCCAAAATGCACCCCAACCACCACCCCAACCCCGGACTCC